CTATAGCTGTTCTATTTTATTACTCATAACAACTCTGTAAGGTAGGTAATAAATTTATTCTCCTTAACATATAAGTAAATAAGCAAGAGAAGTGGAACTTTGGTGAAAATGAAACCTAATGTCATGATTTCATTGTTGTTATTTGATGAACCTCCATATGTGATTAACTGGTTTACCAATTAATACAAATGAATACTATTAATGTGAGTTGCAAGAACACACAGATTAAATGATACAGTTCATTATCAGTTCTGTTCAAAAGTTCATTTGTCTCACACAGGGACCACTAAACTCTTAAAAAGGCATTTCTGACTCTTATTTTAAGCCTTTATGACAGCCACATACTCCCTTTGATGGGAAAGTAACATGATTTTTGAAATCCTTTTTAAGACATATCTCCCATGTTGACCAAAGAAACACTAGTCTACAAAATCCTATGAATGGGTTTGCTTTGTTATATAATTCCTTGTCCAGATTTAGAGCTGAAATAAGGATTGGCCACATATTATTAAGAAAAGATAATAAAAATGTGAAAATAACCTATGTCCATTGGCAGATGAATGGATAAAGAAAATGTGATATATACATAAAAAGGAATACCATTCAGCTTTAAAAAAGAAGAAAATTCTGTAATATGAAACAACATGGATGAACCTTGAGGACATTGTGCTAAGTGAAATAAGCCAGTTATAGGAAGACATATACTGTATGATTCCACTTATTTAAGGCATCCAAAATAGTCAAATTCATAGAATCAAAGAGTGGAATAGTGGATACCAGGGAATGGGGGGAAAAGGAAATGGGAAGTCACTGACCAAAGGCATAAAGTTTCAGTCAAGCAAGATGTGTAAGTTCTAAAGATCTGCGGTACGATGTTATACATCGGTAGTCAACGATACATTATTGTTGACTTAAAATTTTGTTAAGAGAGTAGATCTCATGCGAAATATTCTTACTAAAGTAAAATAAAATGAAATAAAATACATAATTTAAAGAAGATGAGAAAGGATATATCCGCAGGAAGTATTGAATTTATTTCATATCTATGCTCTTGCATGATCCCCGTATGCATGTAAAAAGTACACTAATTCCTTTGCTGCATCATTACCTTTGAACCAGATTATTTAAAACAAATTATTTGTGAGCATATGGAATAGGCATTTTCTGAGAACATATTATACCCTGAAAAGCCAATTGACTCTTTGGCTCAGAATTTTTTCTTCAGAAGGTTAGCCATCTATCCGGAATTTGGGTGAAAATCCTTTTGAAAACATCCTGAGGTAAGCAGTGCAAAGATTTAATCCCCCACAAAATGCTTCTCAGAATGGTTAATTTCTCTAGAGCAGTGTTTTACTCTAGTGACAAATCTCCTTTGTCGAGACCTAATGGTAGCTACTGAGAAGTGGGAATTTTCTTTGTGTTATACCAATTTGACTTCAAGTTAAGAGTATATAGAACCAAGTGGTGTCATGAGTTTTTAGTATACTCCTTACCTACTATTTAACTGCCAAATGCAGCCTAATATCTGTTTTTATTTATTTTGTCTTTTTGACAACCAATTAAATTTAGATGTCAAATTTCATCATATACATTATCTTTTATGCTTGTTATGTTACATTATATAACACATGACATATATAATATATATTTACATAAACTACTTAAATATAGTATTTATATAGTATATAACATATGCTAAACATATAAATTAAATATATTAAAACATTTGTGTGAGAAATTTTATTACACAATTTATTATATGTTTATTACAGAGATTACCACGTCTCATCTTAGAATTTATCTTGCAAATTGCTTATGAAGACTGAAGATTTGTTGAAAACACAACAAATCAAGTTTAATCCATTATTTTCAGCTACTGTTCAGACTTACAAGAAATGATATTTTACAAAACTTCAATATGCATTCTGAATTCTGACAAGCATATTGTGATTTATTCTTTTGATATGGAACAATGGCAGAAACCTTAATTTGCTAACTGTAATGAAGTCCATTTGAACCACAGTGGTGTTAACATAGTCAGAAAGCTTAAAAGATGCATGCGAATTTCTATAAATATTATGAGAAATTAACAAATGTGTGGCAAAAAAACTCTAAAAATCTAAAGCTGTCTAATATCTTTGTGAGTAAAAATTAAATTGGAAAAGCTATAGGTTATTTCTAGGAGTCTGGAAAGAAATTATTCACTGTTGCTTTTCTGTTGACAGAAAGGATTTATGTTTATAGACATAATCATTAGAATGTATAATTATATAAGAACAATAATCTCAGATGGAGATTCCTAAATTAGGTGACAAAGGACATTTTAAAATATTTTAAAATTTCATGTTATTGAATGGAAGTCAGTGATGGAGTTTACGGAAGTACAAATTAAAACTCTTCTGGAGATACTTACCCTTTTCTGTTCTTTTACATATTCTATCAATTCATCTCTTGTTCTTCTCACTGCCTCTTCCACAGCCTTTTCGCTTCGCTTCTGCTCTTCTATTATTGCTGCCTTGACAGTTTCCTGTTTGTGGGAGGAGGAAAAAGTCAGGGAGGTATGCACTGTGACATATTTGTGCCCATTTTACATAAACTAAAAATCCTCTTCAATGGGTTGCAGCTTAAGCTGTTCAAAGCATACCTTTAAGTAGGAATAAGAACTTACAAAATCTTTTGGGATCTGTTAGGGATTTCAAAGAACTCCCTTTCCTAAACTGAGTGAAGGGGAAAAGAAATGGAATAAGCCATTTATTGCAGGGAGCGCCTGACAGACTCCAATGGCTTCCTTACCAAGCTTTCATTTGATGTTTACATGATTGATTGCCTTCCGGTATTTTGCACTATCCACATAAGGCTTCCAACTTGTGTTTATTCTTCCAAGAACAGCCTAATGCTCTAGCTGTTTTATTCACGTTTAATTTTGCCATCATACAATAATTAAGTGTGGTGTGGGTGGTAAGATTTACAGTTAGTTTGGTCTTCTTGCCAGGTTAAGATGCTGCGAGCTGGACACCATGAATAAGAGGTAAAAATTCCTCCCTGTGTGCTAATATTTGAAATGGGAGATGCAGGGAGGAAAATGGTACTTCTCATTTTATTGAAATAGTAATCAGGTACCTAAGGAATTTCAGAATTGCAGATAGAAAGAAGGCTAAAGTTCTGAAAAAGAAATACACTTCACAGGAAGCAGTGACATTTTCTGTTCAAATAGTGTTTTATGGATTGGAAATGAATGCCACAAAATAAAATTCTTTAACTTCCATCTCTTTATATAGGTACCATCCTTTTTTTATTGGACAGGAATGCAATCACTTAGAAAATGGCTTGAGTTTCTCAGAATATTTCCTTCATTTTTGATTCTTGAAGGCTCTTCACTTTGTGGTATATACAAATGTTTTTGCTTAGTTTTCCCAATTAATTTTAGAAATGTATATATATAATATATATAAAAGCCAGAAAATATAATATATATTCTGAATACATTTACTGTAAAAAATTTGAAAATGCAGAAAAATATGAACACAAAGCAACATACACAGATATACACAGTTGGACATAAAGAAGACAAGATTTAAACTATATATAATATTTTCTTATTCTGGTATTTTTCACTTAAAACATATTTTGGATATTTTCTTAAGCCACGATATAGTCTACCGTAATATGATTTATATTCCATTACAGAGCAACATAATAATTTATTTTACCAATCTTTAATCATGGGTAATTTGGTTGTTTTTAATAAAATAAAACAGGAAAGAGCATCCATATTATGTATCTTTGTGGTACACCTTAGATATTTACTTAGGACCAATTCAAAAAATGGAATCATTTTAGGAAAAGGATATAAACTCTCTTATGGCACTTGACATTTTGTACAAATTTCTTCCCGTAAGTAGCCCATGAGAATGGCTATTTTCTTGCATCTTTGATTACATTTACTTTCATCAGTTTTTACAATCTTTACTAATTCGGGGAAAATGGCATCTCATTTTAGTCTGTATTTTTAAAAGATTATTATGTGATGTTGAGCATTTAGTTCATAGAAATATTGGCAATATACATGTTATCTCTTGTCATTCTCTTCATCACATCCTCTGCCCACTTTAATATTGGTTTAATCATTTTTTGGAATATCTTCCTAATATATAAAATTGACAATTCTGAAAGTCTATATAATGACTTTGAAAATTGTTACTATTTATAATTACTGAGTACATTAAGCTTTAGTTCCATTGATAAAATAATAAAGTACAAAGTTATTTCTATAATTATTTGAAAATACTGAAGTTGAAAACTATAATAATTTATAAAGAAAAAATTAGAATAAGATTATTCAAAATAAAAACATCTGCTATTACAATTTTTATTGACTTCACGCTTACAAATTTGGAATTTAAAGTTTTCCAGATTGGTGAAGGCAAAAAACATTACATATTTATTAAACTCCCTGAAATAAAACACATTAATCATTTTGTAGTGAAGAGTATGAATATTCACACTATGCAGATAAATTAAAAGCATAAGTAGCTTCACATTAGTTCAGGTCAGGTTTTGCCAACAGTTTAGTTAGAAAAATTCTTAGTGTTCAGGGCTTTTGAAATTTTAGAATAGAATAAGGTTAAGATTTTCTATCTAACAAGGAGCATATCAGTAAAGCTGACCAGGCCTGTTTGATTGAATGCAAAAGCATCAATTGAAATAAATGGGCTATATCCAGAAAAACATGAACAGTTAGCTAATGTTCTTCAGTTGACATTTTTCTGGGGGGGCGGGCTGAAAGTTTATATTACCTTCTCAGTCCAAATTTTTGAGGATCATTCTATTCTTGCTTTTTGAGCTGGCAAGTTACCCTTTACAGTACAAAGTTTCCCTTGATCCTATCCTCCTCAGTTGGGAGTTAGGTAACAGTCAAGGTTGTTGAAGCCCATCCTGAAAAACTACTTGTCAATAAAGAATTTCTTTCAATACACACAAAAGTAAAGTTTAAGCCTTCCATTTTCTAATCAAATCAAATTCTAAATTAGTTAAGATTAACAAATTGAGTTTGCATGTATGCAAGTGCTTGTGAATTTCTGCCTGCATATTTTTCTGCCTGCATAGTCCATGAATAAACTATATTGTTCTTATGAGTCGTAAGAATTAATCTAAAATAAAACATAGCTTGCAAGGAATGAAGAGTTGCCGTCATTGAGTACATTCAAATAGTCAATTCTGAAAGGGTATTTTCCAGAATATTTTAATGATGGCAACACCATTGGAACATGGCATGTTCTCTAAGGCAGGATTTCTCAACCTCAGCACTATTGACAAGGGGGTATCCATCCACTCCCTAGATGGCCTCCAGTTGAGAAACTTTACCCTAAGGAGAATAGTTTGGAAGGAAAAACAGTCAATTGCATAGGTATTATGATGTATTTGTAAAGATGTATCAGTCACATTTCATGTCATATTTTGAATATTGTTTATCATATTAAAATATATGCAGAAATATCATATTCAAATGATTATATAAGTAGTTTTTAAGTGTGGAGAAAGTTCTATATACTAATTAAAAAAAGATTGGAATCAGTTTTCATATTATTTGATTAAGTAGGTCATGTTGAATGTCATTCAGGACTAAAAGCTTATGTGACATTTTGTATAAGATTTTATAATTTCTCTTTATTGTTTAAAAGTATAGTTATGTTTTAGTATTCACCAGATTTGTAGTCTCCAAATCTATAATACATTTCAGGAATCACAGGATCATGAAACAATAAAAGGTCAGTGGTTGTTTGCTCTTTATCAGTGCAATTTTGTTAAGGACTGTAAATACAGTTAAATTATTTATAGGAAACAAGTATCAGCAACCAACTCAATTCTGGTCTGCGGGTTATAAACCACAGTATCATGTGGTTGTTTAATTTTCTGGGACAATTGTGCACTTATTTTTTGTTTTTATACATGATATATGGCATTATCTAATTATGTATTGTTTTCAAAGTTGCATGTGGTTATGGAAATGTACCTTAGAAAATGAGTGATAAACTAGAGAAGCAAAGACAGATATCACATGTTATACAGTGTTCTAGTTTGTGGGTGGTAGCATACTCTGTTCATACATTCGTCTGTCAAATATTTCCTGAATACCTATTTTGTGTAAAGAATAGCCCAAGATACTGAAAGCTTTTTTGTCCTTCTCTTGGTGAGTTTATAATTTACTTGTGGAAATAAGACATAAACATACAGGAACTGAAGTAACAGTACAATAAAAGATCTCAAAAGATATGGTGGCTAGTGATGGTGGTGATAGTAAGTATGAGTTATATGGAAGGAAATATCACAATGTCTACAAAGAAAGCCTGAGAAAGCCTTAAAAAAGTGGTGGCCTCTGACCTTAGGTTTAACTGGTGTTTGGTATACTGAAGTGTGAGTATGAAGACTGAGGGATCAGTATAAGCAGGTCATGTTGAATGATATTTAGAAATAAAAGCTTACATGACAATTGGTAGAAGAGTGTAAAGATAAAATCCAAGTATATATTTGAGGCTTCTGGCTACAGATGAGAGTTCTTGTGGGAAAAGAGGAAGCAAAGGAAGATGGAAAGCCAGACTAGGACCAGACAGTAGAGAGCCTGAAGGCTTAAGGCTAAATTAACAACATAATAAAGAGCTACCAGTAATGTCATGGGGACTGGTTGTTCCTTCTGCCACTTACATGGTTTTTACATGAGTCAGCAAACATAGTCTTTATTAATCCTGTACATAGTCATCCTTGTCTCACTCCAAATGATATGTCAAAAGTAAATAGGTTGTATGTTTAAAACAATCTCTCTCAAAAGTTGCTAACTCTTAATTCAAACAATGGTCTAAACAAGGAAAAGAATAGACAAGTTTTCATTCCCTTCCTATGCAGGCAAAGAAGGATTCCTTAGACAGTACTGTCCTATGTCCACAGCCAGCAACTGTGATTTAGGGTATATATGCCAGAAATTAGTGTCTCTGTTTGTTATACCAATGTACGAACAGAATAGTTTCATTTAAAGTTGTGAGAAAATCTTCTAGACTGCCCAAACTTTCACTCTTTTCTACATTTTAATATATATTAATAGAACAACTAATATTCGGTATTACAGGCAGAGTGATTTGGGGGTAATAAACTAGAGTCCTTGTATTGGATATAAATTTTTAGCTAAGATAACAAGGAAAATAGGCACCACTTTAGTGTCTATAACAAGCAATCCACAAATGAAATAAGCTTGTATAATCAGAAATGTAATTTTTTAGTGACCATGATGTCTCCATTCATAGGCATTACTAAAGTAGATGTCCTAGAGAGATTTATATGGTCTGATAAGGGCCTTCTTGCTGCATCAGAACATGACACAGAATGTATCGCATGACAAAAGAGGGCAAACGAGGAAAGGAGAGGGTAAGAGTGCGAGACAGAGAGAAAACAGGGTCCCAACTCATCCTTTTATTTTATTTTTTTATTTTTTTTGAGACAGAGTCTCACTGTGTTGCCCGGGCTAGAGTGAGTGCC